AAAAACATTATATGTGATTGGTTAAAAAAAAAAAAATTCTATTTTGAAATTTGAAACTTCTTTGTCACTATTTTCTAAATCTATTTCGTATTTTTGTAAATGATTTGTTATCAATATCTTCATAAAACGTCGACCGACGTTGTAACAACCAAATGCTTCTATATAAAGGTAATCATTGTGACCTTTGCTCAAACACAACACACAAAGTAACAAACTCCACAAACACACTTCACAAAAAAAAGAGAGACTTAACCATGAAGCCTACCATGTCCCTCGCACTCATGTGTCTCGTGGTCGCTTTGGCCGCACCCATTCTTGCTCGTCCAGATGGCCATGTGAAGGACTCTTTAGGCCGTATACTTCGTCCTGGTCAAACCTACTACATCGTACCTGCGACTCCCGAGACAGGAGGAGGTCTTTTCTCGAACAGTGAAGAGATCTGTCCTCTCGACATCCTCCAGTCAAAGAATCCGCTTGACCTCGGCTTACCCATCAGATTTAACTCCGAGTTATGGTTTGTTAAGGAGTTGACTAATGTCACCATCGAGTTCGAGGCTCCAAACTGGTTCTTGTGTCCTAAAGAATCCAAGGGGTGGAGAGTTGTATACTCTCAAGATTTCAAAAAGACTCTTGTAATAAGCACTGGTGGCTCATCAAACCCAAGTGGGTTCCAGATCCAACGAGAAGGAGATGCTTACAAGATTGTGTATTGTACGATCATGTCGCCTACTACGTGCAAGAACGTTGGCATATTCACCGATCTCTCTGGTGTACGACACTTAGCCTTAACCAACGACGAGGCTCTGCTGGTTAAGTTCCAGAAGACTAATGTAGAATCTGAGCTGAAAACTAAGTTAAGGATGTTCCCTTTCTACTAAGTAACAACTTGTAACAAAAATGCCAAAGAAAATGGCCTCTTGAATAATGGTTGGGACAATATATACCAACAACTTGTGATCAGTATGTCTTTGTGTATATTATCACTTTGTCATGTGCGTTTGATTTGTTTAAGAATCATGCTTGTGTGTTAAATTAATTACATAAAATCCGCTTTGTCTTTTTGTAAAATAACAAACTGTTTTCTGTCTATAGTTGGGAGATACTAGAGCGAATTAAGAACGTAGTAATCTTTTGGTTTCGAAAAAATATAACTTCTTACCAATTGCAACGTGCTTAATGAATACGGTGTAAACAACCACAATTGTTTTTGATTGAATTAGATAAATGATTATGTTTTTTTTTGTTTGAAAAAACACCAAAT